GTTAACACAATAATGAATCAAATTTTTTATAAATAAACCAAAACAATCTGAAAAATGTGTTAATAAAACTGAATTTGTCATATGCTTTTTCTGCTGATGAATAACAGTAACTCAGCAATTCAAAAACTAAACTTGAAGATTATGCAAAGTCGTGACCACTGTACTTTGGCTATTTTTATGTCAACGAAGTGGACATAACTATGGTGTTTTTCACAACAGCTCTTCAAAAGGAAGTGGAAAAACACGACTTTAGCTTAATCGGAACTGTCCATTTGCATTCCTATTAAAATATGCGTGGGCCGGTATAACGGATAACATATTTGGTCTTTTTTAGATTCTTAAAATACTTTTACAAGCAGACAGGTAGTTGCTTATCTAGTCTAAATGTGTCTCTTACTGTCCAATTACCTGTCATAGAGATAAGAAAAATAAAGTAAAAACTGTATACGTTTGTATAAGCAACTATAAACACTGGCTTTCAACAAGTAATTACACAAATATTTTTACTTGAATAATATAAACCACTATCAAAGTAGAGCAGCAACTAAATGCCACGTCTTGTACTTTTTCTGAGTCATTTTTTCATATTTTCTGACGATAAAGCAGAAATTAAGAGAGAGGGAAAAAAACAAAAATCAAACGATGCTATAAAGCAGTTTTATCAAAAAGCTCACTTATTTCTTCAAAAAAAATTTTTTTTTTGGTTTCAGTTTTAGTTAAGTTTTTATAAAGAGAAAGTACAATTATGTCAATCCTCGGCTGATTGTTTGAAGCGTTGTTAAAAATTAAGTACAAGAATTAAGGGTATCTTGGACTGGAAATACAAGCAATTTTTTGATTTATAATTGAACAGGTTTTACAGGCCACTGATGCCGGTTGCATTGGTACACTGCAATTATGAAACGCATACTGCAAAAACTTCAATTATCCTAAAGAATCTTATAGATTGACAAAATCTGAAGCATAATTCGCTGTATTTTACTGACTTGTCATTTTCATCTATTGCTGTGTACCGCTACTGAAAAACCAGAAGCTACACAGTTCATTTTGTCAAATGATCGGTCAAAAATTTTAATCAAGTTTTTTACAAATTTTTGATAAGGCAGTGCAAAAAAAAAAATAAGGTTTAGCAAAAAACCGCAATAAAAAAGTACATTGAAAAATACAAAAATCAGGTATCTTATTTTTTTATATTGCCTTTTCTTCTTTATTTGAGTAACTAGTCAGATTGAAGTGCTGCCTTAGATTGCTTATGATTCACTTAACTTGATTCAAACAGTCACCAAAATTTTTTTTTTTTACAAATGCTTTGAAAAACAAACAAAAAAACGACTTATTTTTGGTATGCTAATAGTGTCCATTTGTCTAGCTCTCTTTTAGCATGAGTCTAAGCTTTGAGTGTGGTGTGCGTATGCATTTTCTGAATTCTTAGTGCAGTGTATCAGTTTTAAAGTTCAAAAATTCACTGTAACTATTTGAAGAAATCAGTGACGAACAGAATTGATAACTGTACTTATAAATTTTATTGGTACGTCATAAGACTAAGTATGGCATAATAGTTGAAATCAAAAAAAAAAAAAAAAAAAAAAAAAAAAAA